TCAACCAAGGTCGCCGAGTCCACAGCCTTCCACTCCTTGTTTCATGTCATGTGATCCCGCGCGAAGCGAAGTCGCACAAAGTTAGCACTCCGAAGACCTCGTTTTACCGTTGCCAAACTAGCATTTACACCGCATTCATCCCTGATTTTACTGGCAGAGAGATGGGAATTCGAAGCACTTCGAAGGATTAGTAGCCTCTCTGATGCCGTTGTAGCAGAATTTTTTCCTCCTTTCCTTTTTAGGAACAAAGAGAGGAGCATAAATATAAGAAATCAGTATCTTGCTGGAGGGCAAGTTGTTAAGACAAAAAAAAAACAAATAAAAAAAAAAAGTGGTTAAGATTAAAAAAAAAAAAAGTGACCGACGCGCTCGGATGAGGAATGTGATTCCTCCGACGCCTCCTTAATCTCGGTTGGCTACAACTTCGGTGATATAGCGAATTACACCATGCTCAGTGCCAGTGAATCTGACAACTCACAACTTGACAAACTAAGGACGGCACCCTTGACTGTGCCAGACGCGACTGCTCACGGTGCTACCCGACGACTCTCCAAGGACTCACTTGCTCCAGCCAATCTAAGTCAGGTTGCTGCCCCACCGGCGGCAGCTCCGACTAGTTCAAGCAGTTAGTACATAGTCTCTCTCCTCTCCCAGTCCGACTCGGACATGTCCACTAAGTCCATCCGCGATCCGATTTCTCATGGACGAGAACATGTTCGATCCCGAGGATGACGCCGTCCTTGCCGAGATTGATGCTCCGCCGAGCCCACTGCAAACGACAGTAATTGAAAACCCAATTTGCCCAAAAATCTGTGAAAAAGATCGAGCAAAGAAAATGCCGCCAAAACGCGCATTAGACGCCACTAACACCACAAAAAAAAGGTGTGCAGAACAAATACACACACAGGGCAAAGGAGCTGCTTTACCGACAAGTGCCAACAATTTCGGCACACACATAACGCAGCAAGAACTAAACGCTGCTTTGCAGTCCCCCTCTACCAATACACGCATAAATTCTAACATAATTGGCACTCAGCAACAACTATTACAGCAACAGCCAATACAGCATCAACAACAAGTTAATCCTTGGAAGCTATTTCTCCAGCAATGGAAAAACAACTCTATCCCTGTGGCAGCAGCAACAGCTACAACAACCAGAAGAAATTTGATGCCATCATTAACAAAATCGCCACCAACACAGACGCTAACGACAACAATAGAAACTACCAGCAATGACAAAGCAACACTGCTACAAAACTGGCTATCAGGTGTGCCACCACTGCTGCCCAGCGAACTACCAAAGCCTCAACTAGCAACGATAAATACCTCCGCCACAACGTGGCGATCACCTCTGAAGAGAAGATGTGTGGATATGGACGAGTCTGACTATGATCCCGCTCTCCAAATACTACCGTTAACGACGCCCATCTTTAAGAGTGGTTTCGCTATGAAGCTTCACCACGAGGCACGCCGCCAACAAATGCTCTAAAGTGAGGCAGAGCAACACGGACATCAGACAGTACAAAGAGGGCAGCAGCCACAGAAATGCCAGCAACTACAACCGCGACAACAACAACAATCGCAACAACATCAGGAAGAGAGTCTGAAGCAGGAATCGAAAGAGAAACAATGGTGCCCGCAATTATCCCACTTCTGGATAAACTGTAAAGCCATCCATGTGTGCGAAAATTCTCGTCAAAGGTAACCTCTGGCAGTGGACTACGTGTCCAATGTGAAGATTCTGACCGCCCTGGCTGAAGAAGGCACTAATCTGCATACGCACCAACTATGCAGCGAAAAGGAATATCGCATAATCTTACGGCATATCCACCACTCCACAACCTGTGAATGGCTAGCGGCCAATCTAGAACAAATGGGCTTTGTCACTCGTTTCATCCGAGTCAAAAAACACCGGTTCACAGGCAGGCCGCTAAATTTGTTTGAAACCGAACTGCAGACCAAAGCGAATGGGAGCCATGAAGGCATCCTCAACCTGAAAGAGCTGGGCAGTCAATCCATCACGGTCGAGCGGCAAGCAAAACCTCGAGATCCAGCGCAGTGCCATCGGTGCCTTTGGTCTTTGGTCACACGAAAAACTATTGCAGGCGGTTCTTCGTCTGCATGAAATGCACAGGCGAGCACATGTCATATATATTTTATTAAATGTCCTTTTGCAATTGCCACTCATTATAAAAACAATAGCACAAATACCAATAATCATGTGTTGTAAAACACAGCTCAACAACAATCAGACAGCAAAACAGTCCAAATGGACTGCTCTATGGAAGCTGCCATCGCCAATGAATCCATCAATTATGTATAGTCATCCACACGGTAGTACCGCCGCTCAATCGACTTTAGCCACTAATACTTCCGCTGAAAATGTCCGCAGTCCGGCGCCAATCAGTACAGTAAATTCACATCTGACCATCCACAATTGCAGCCAAAATAGCAACCCATTTAAATTTGCTTTCTGGAACCCATGTGGCATAGGCAACAAAATGACGGAACTCGAGCTGTACATTCGACGCGAGTCCATACAAATCATGATGGTCATCGAAACTCGGGTCACGTCCGGCACTAACGATATCAGGCACGCTGCCCTCCAGCCAATTAACGCGAACTTTCTCCAGAGAATGCCTATTGCCCTGTTGCTTGAAAATGAGAATAAAAGGGAAATAATTATAATTGCCCCAATCTATTGCCCACCAGTGTTCAAATGGTCCGTCGAACACTTCACAAAACTATTCAAACATTTTGACAACTTCATCGATCCGGCTCCATCTAACTTTATATTCTGCGGCGATTGGAACGCCCAGCACTCATGGTGGGGCAATCCGCGAGCCTGTCACAGAGGCAAAGCGCTCTTCGAAGCAATTCACACCGGTGGAGCGACGCATTACCCGTACGATAAAAGGAAAAGACCTTCTGCAATTGACCTTGCAGTCCACGGTGGCTTAGATAGCAATCGGCTTCGAATCCACTCCTCAACAGACTTGGACGAAGACCACCTGCTTTAAAGAGTTGATCCGATTACTAACAGAAACCAAAATTTTACAACTCAAACTGATAATCGCAGACTGCTACCTTCTGGGGCCAATACGCATCGATTTCAGGATGTTCTTGACCAGCAAATCCACCTAAACACCGAGATCCGCAGTGGCACGGACATCGACGTTGCAGTGGATATCCTCGTACGCAACATCCAAATAGCTGCAAATGCCGCAGCACACAGGCATCATGGAAACCAACATAGTCACCGGGACCGCCATAGGCACGAACTTGAACTGGACTGAAACAGAGATGCAAACAGATCTTAATGGCGACACGAACTCCAGAGGCAAGACAGCAATACAGGGCTGCACAGCTGAAACACAAGAACATTAATAAAATGCTTGTGGACATTGACACTCATGATCGCTATGCAATGCAAAAGCTATGGCGACTTACCAACAAAATAAAAAAAAACAGCAGCTGCCAAACTGGTCAATAAAACTGCCACAGGCTAATGCTGGCAACGGAGGCGCGAGGAATGCGTCAAATTCAAACGCAATGTGGAAAAAAACGACTGCCGAAAAAGCGAAGGCCTTCGGCGCTCACCTTGAAGAACGTTTCAGCCCACTTCTCAACTTCTCAAACTCGGATGAGGAGCGTGCAGAAATTCGCGAAGAATGGAGGCAACTGAAGCAGCAGAAGCTTCAGCAGCAGCAAACAGACCTGGAGCTACAGCAGACAATCAAGCCAATCACGCTTAACAAGCTTAAGCTGAAAATCAATGCACTAAGCAAACAAAATCACCTGGAGAAGATAAAATAGATAACAGAATTATCCAACTCTTACCACAAAAAGCACTGTTATACCTACTGCTAATTTACAACTCTAGTCTCGCTAGGGCACTTCCAAAACAAATGGAAACACGCTGGCATAGCTATGATTCCCAAGCCTGGGAAAAACACAGCTGAAGCAACATCTTAACGCCCAATCAGCCTTTTATCGGGCCTATCAAAGATCTTTAAGAAGCTCTTAATGTCAAGGCACTTCGAAGTCCAGGATTTTTCCAAGGCAATGCCCAGCCATCAGTTCGGCTTCAGGCGAGAGCACGGCACTGAGCAGCAACTGGCCAACGTTATGCAATTTATATTACGCGCATACGAAGAGCGGCAGTTCTGCTCAGCGGTCTATATAGACATCTCAGAAGCCTTTGACCGCGTGTGGCATAACGGCCTACTGAATAAACTGATAAAATTGTTACCATCAAACCTTTATACGATACTCGAAAACTACCTAAATGAGCGCACTATTGTGGTAAACTGCAATGACGGTGTCAAATCCAGAACAGGTCGAATTGCTGCCGGAGTTCCACAGGGCAGTGTACTTTGTTGCATTTGACGTTATCGGCAGCACCGAGGGTGTACTTAGTTGGTTGCGTGCGATATTATCGGCCACGCCGATACTTTTTGTCATATGGTCAGAGTATGTGGAGTGAAGCTGGGCCCACGGAGGAGCCCAAATTTTTGAAGGGTGGCAACGCCAGACTTGCGATCCACGGCGCCAAGAGCGACGATTGCTATTGGCCGCCCGGTTCACTCTTAAAGAGTCATTTGTCATTTGGGCCATTGACCCAAGAAAATGCAGCTGTGCAGATGGGCAGCAACGGTGCCGCCTCGCCAATGTATGCGTGTTCCAAAATTCGGCACCGATGATGTTGCTGCCCAAATGGAGAGGGATTTCGATTTGATCAACGGTTAACGGCGGGCGTGCCAGCTCGAAGTGAGCATGAAATTTGTATATTGCATATCGGCTCAAAAGATTCGAATTTATTTTCATCTGGCAAGTTAAGCCAGCGCGTAATAACAAATAACTTAACAGACAAATGAAGCCAGCGCGTAATAACAAATAACTTAACAGACAAATGAAAATTTTGGTTTTGTTTTTTCTGCAATTTAATAGGTATATGTAAATTAAACCGCTCAAGTCCCAAAATATATATAAAAAATATATATATATAAAATAAAACTTGAAACTTAAGTGCGACGAGAGACGAACCAATAAAAAAATAAAAATTAACGGCTCCGGCCACAAAGGGACCAGTCTCGCAGCAGAGAGGCCCACGAAACATACCAAAGCCCAGTATTCGGCTCAGCGGCGCACACCAGCCATATGCGCGACGCCGCCAGCCAAGCGTCGGCGCAACCCTGAAGGCGACGAGACGAGCCACCAACGACCGGGCGCCAACAACGAAGAAGCGGCCACAGGCGACACCACACCCACATCCCCCGAGTGAGTCCGTTTCCTTTTTGCCCATCCTCGTTCGGGCCCTTGGCAGAGAATTGATGAAGACTCCTGATCGTACTCCCTGAAAAGAAGCAGAATTTTTTTGTCGTTAAATTTAGTTTTTTTTTTTTGTATTTATAAATTATATCTATACATACATAGGCACTTACGCCGAGCTTCACTTTAGAGTGCGAACGGTGAGGGAAACTCCAAAGGTGATCCATCTGCGCCTGTAAAATATAAAAATTTAAAATTAACACTTGCGCGAACTAAGCTCACATACTTACCTAATTGGAATTATCCATTTAAATCGCCCCGTATCACCCCTGAGAGCTCTTTAGGTAGGGTAAGGTAGAATTGAGCGATTTAATACAGATCTATATCACCTACCTGTTGCACGACTGATTATCTTTTTTATTGTTTTTATTGTTCCTAAATCGTCGCAACGATTGCCTCTAAATTGCCTCCTTGCGTGTTTCTTTTGCGGCGATTAGCAATATCAATAGCACGTGCATGAATTCTTATTTATCTGAATGGAGACCTCGTGCAAATTAGAAAGAAATAAAAGAAATATTAATGCCAATAATTATAAGAGTACATAAACCATTATACGCACCTGTGAAGTTAACGAAATGTCCACTTGCATGAGATTCTAAATAGCTGCAAAGATAAACGCCATAAGCGACGATTATAATGTTATAAATTTTAAGAAGACGCAACCAATTATACGCACATACTGAACGAAAGCATGTCCGGCTAAAGTAAATTGTTGGGGAGAGTGGGCATGAGGGTTGGCACGGGCTAATGTAGGCCATTTTGTTTTTTTGTTAATTTATATTGAGTGTCTCACCTTTGTTGTTTACATTTTCATAATTGTTACAGCTTATTTTGTTCATGAGTTAGCAGATCCGAATATTGGTTATCGATTATGTGGTTTATCTTTGAATAGTGTTGTGTGAGTCTGTTTTGGTACAGAAGTGTAGCTTTGTTGTTGACTGCGCGCCAGGGATGGAACTACACCCGGAGAATCCGATGAGCCCGCCGGCGCGGCCCAATGAGAAACAAGCAGTTCCGTAACAATATGGCGCCCAATGGTGAAGAAGCACTCGGCTTCTTTGAAGTCGGTGTGTAATCAAAGAAAAATAAATACGATATAAATGTAGGTACAGAGAAACGGACTGCGGGCCAGGGATGGGACTACACCCAGAGAATCCGATGAACCAGCCGGCGCGGCCCACTGAGAAACAAGCAGTCCCGTAACAACTGGGCCCGATATTGTATACATTATACTCCTCGGATATGCCCCTTCCCTCACTCATGAGAAGCACATATTATGGAGCCCAAAAAAGCCACATGCTATTATCAATATACGCCAACGATACAGTGATCATGTGTGCCGCTGCGCTGACAACGACAGCTGTTGGAGGGAACCAAACATACCTCTCTCAAGCAAGCTCCTTGACCAGACACGCAAATTCTGAGGCACGAAATCTGCTATGCAAATGGGTGCATTTGAGCCGCAGCGCTTACAGAGGGTCCCGCTACACGCAGCAAATACAACAACACATACGATCGCTGCAGCAACAACATGGGCCTCAACAGCGCCAAGGACAGCCATCTCACATACAACACACCGCTCGGCAAACACAACAGGCACAACAAATGATGCAAGACAGGGACCAATTCCAACACTCCTCCGGCTTCAAGAAGAAGAGCTGGAGAGGCGAGAAAATGAGAGACTGGCCGAAATCCAGGCCAGGCAAAAGATCCAGCAATCAAATTGGCCGCCTCCTAGAAGATTCGGAGAATCAAGTATAAATTCGTATAGAAGAATGTAAAGAAGCGGACAAATCACTCGCGAAGAGCTAGTGGTCCGCATCCAGGGCCAGCCCCCAACGATCCAGCGATTAATCCAACAAGGCTCTGCCAATACAAACTCCACAGGCTCTATCAACGTAGCCACAACAGCCGCTAACGACATCAACTGAGGAGCCAGCAAACTTGAAATCACTGTCACATCGACAGCAGCCACAACTTCAACAACGCGTTCTGGATGAAGACATGGGAAACGCAAACTCCCAAGATGACCTACTGGGCCAATACTAAACTCGGAGAGACTTGCAGCCATAGCATCGTCCACCTAAAAAAACAAAAAAAAAAAATAAATAAATAAAATAATATCCTGTACTGCGTCCGGCTTCAGGCCATCAAACTCCTTAAAAGTCGATTAAAAGCGCTGCTATGACTGGCAAAGACTGCTGATCTGCAAGTTGCCAAGTTGCGTGGCGTCTGGGAAACGCCACCAGATGTTCAATACACGACGCTTCCGTGCTGTCCTGCAAATAAGGTTACAAAATTTAATTTTAATTACATGCTCACCAAGAAGACGAAATACTCCATGACGGCCTTCTGGGTGATGTATCCATACTGCAATCCGAGAGACGCCGCTGGATGATCCGATCGTTTACGCTGACGTACTGTACTGCAAACAAAGATGATACGCCCACGACGGTCAAATTGACCAGATATTAAAATTTGAAGAGATCGGCATGAGGGGCCACTCAACTAAGAGGAACCGATATGATGCGTCTCTACGGCGGCTTAAGTCAGCTGACCTGTAATTCCTGGACAAATACATACTTATCAAGAAGACGATACGCCTACGACGGTCTACTGGGCCACGTATTGAATTTGGGCTCTGTAGTGGGCTCCATCCAGCATCCAGTATCGGCTTCGGCCTGTTAATCAGGCCATCCAACGTTGAGGAGCCGACATCATCCGTTTCTGCGACTGCCAAAGTCACTGACCTCCAAATCCTGCAAGAATGGGGTTGCGTGTGAGAGACACTGCCAGCTGTGCCAACCCACGACGTTTCCAAAACCTAATGCTCCACGTCAGCCTACTGGATGATGTGTTCATTTTGGAATGAGCGACCGCTTTGAATCGATTAATACGCTGCTGCGACCGCCAAGACAAACTGACCTGAAATTCCTGGATAAGTTGTGTGGCGTGTGAGAGACGCCACTAGATGTATTCCAAACTACGAGGCTCATGTGTCGTTCTGCAAATTAAAAACATAAAATCAAAAGCTCTGCTTAAAAGTTACAGACACATACTCACCAAGAAGACGATACGCCCACGACGGTCTACTGGGCTAAATTTGGGGTGAGCGACGGATTTGGCATCGCCCACCCAAACGAAATATGCAATAGCTCAGCAGCTCTGAGTGGGCTCTATCCAGCATCCTGTATCATCTCCAGCCTGTTAATCTGGCCATCCAGCTCTGTGGAGTCGACATGATGCGTTGTTGCGACTGTCAAGGTTGGCTGACCTGCAAATTCTGGACGAGTGGTGTGGCGTGGAGAGACGCCGCCAGATGTTCCAATCCACGAGGTATCCAAGACGAGATGCTCCAGGTCGGCCTACTGGATGATGTGTCCATTTTGGAATGAGTCGACTAATACGCTGCTACGACCGGCAAAACGATTAATATGCTGCTACGACCGACTTCCAGATCCTGCAAAGTGGGGTAGCGTGTGAGAGACAATGCCAGATGTGCGAATCAACGACGTTTCCAAGACGAGATGCTCCACTTCGGCCTACTGGATTATGTGTCCATTTTGGAATAAGCGACCGCTTTCAGTCGATTAATGCGATTCCTGGACGGGTTGTGTGGCGTGTGAGAGACGCCACTGGATGTTTTCCAGACTACGAGGCTAATACGTTGTTCTGCAAATTGAAACATAAAGTCAAACACTCTGCTTGCAAGTTACAGATTAACACTCACCAAGAATACGATACGCTCAGACGGTCTACTGAGCCACCTACTGAATCTGGGCACTGTAGTGGGCTCCATCCAGCATCCTGTATGGCCTTTGGCCTGTTAATCAGGCCATCCAACACTGAGAAGCCGACATGATGCGTTTTTGCGACCGCTTGAGCCAGCTGACCTGCAAATGGTATGGCGTTTGAGAGGCGCTGCCAGATGCTCCAATCCACGACGCTTCCACGAGGTGCTCCACGACGGCCTGCCGGATGATGTGCTTAACTTGGAATGAGCGACGGCTTTGAGTCGATAATAGCTCGGCAGCTCTGAGAGGGCTCCATCCAGCATTCCTGTATCGTCTCCGGCCTGTTATCCAGGCTATCCAACTCTGATGAGCCAATAAGTTGCGCTTCTTGCGATCGCCAGAGAAACACTCACCAAGAAGATAATACGCCCAGACGGTCCATGAGCCATGTACTGAATCTGGGGTGAGCGACGGCTTCGGCATCGCCCAACCAAGCGGGGTATACAATGGCCCAACAGCTCTGAGTGGGCTCCATCCAGCATCCTGTTATCGCCTACGTGGCATTCAGGCCATCCAATCCTATGGAGTTGAAATAACGTACAGCTGCGGCCGCCCAATAAAGCGTGCATTCAGGCCGAACGTGATGCGTAGCCTTCGAGAGCCGCCTCAGGAAACGTCGTCATTGATGCCTCTCCTACTAAATTAGGGGGCATAAAAACATAGTTCCCGCGACGGCAATACATGATGGGCAAGCGGTTTGGAAAATGCCCGTGATGCTCCCGAATTCGTAACATTTGCGCCAGACCTGGGAAGCAGAAATGTTCATTGATAGTGAGTTGCCAACCATCGATATAAATAGAAAAAATACCAAAAACGCGTTTAGCCGATAAGTTGCCACACGATAGTTGAGCTGTCAATAAATTTAAATGTTGGCAAATCACAAAATACTGACACGCTGTTAAATGTAATAGGGCTGCAATATGCTTTTGCCAACAAATTTATAACTTCTGTTGCCATTTAAATTTAAAAAAGGTTGCTATGTAATGAGTTCAATTGAAAATAAAGACGCCGTCAGTATCTTGCTGGCGGGCAAGTTGTTAAGACAAAAAAACCAGTGCCGCTCAACTGAATAGGTTTGACTTCTTTTTTAGACTTAGAACATAATATCTTCATAACGAGCACTCGGATTTAAACCAAATAAATTTTGTTAAGTAAAACGATCAATTATTTATAAAATACAAAAGTTTTTTGTTTGGTTTGGTTTTTATATGTTTTTTATAATATTTTCAAAAGCATAACTGAAAATCTACATAATTTTTGGCTCAAGTGAACAGGTTTGACCGACAAAACTATAAAAAAAAATTATTCATAGCAATATTTCATGGCACTTGGTAACTTAAATAATAAAAGACACTATTTCTGCATTATTTAATATTTGGTATGACCACCCTTATTCTTAATTATTTCAAACATTCGAGTTGATATGGAATCGTAATATTTTTCAATTTCACTCAGTGAAATAGTTGACCAGGCTTTTTTTATCGCTTCAACCAGGGTCGCCGAGACCTGAAATTGTCTTCCCCTTCATACACTCTCCTGGATAAAATTCCCCAAATGTTCTCGATAATATTTATGTCTGGGGAGTATGGCGGCCACTCGAGCAAGTTGACATTCTGGCCCTTAATCCACTGTTTTGTAACCCGGGCTGTATGGATGGGGGCTTTGTCTTCTTGGTACGTCCATTGAATAGGTCCAAAAATTTCGGAAAACTGAGGAAAAACCTTTTGTGCTCCAGTCTTGTAGACATTTGCATTCATCTTTGAGGAAACAAACTGCCTCTCGCAAGTTCCATAAAACGATATGGCTCCCCAAACTATTACGCCTCCTGTAGAGGAGTGATGACGACTCAAAAAGCATTCCTCATTGCGCATATCGTGAAATAATAGTTGTAGCCATACGGTCCGGCGAGATTAAACTTTTTGTCTTCGGAGAAGACCACAGCCTTCCACTCCTTGTTCCATGTCATGTGATGCCGCGGAAAGCGAAGTCGTGCTTTCTTCCGTGCAGCATTGAGAGGTTTTTTTTTTATTTTTAATCTCTTTAAGTGTTTAGCACTCCGAAGACCTCGTTTTACCGTGGCCAAACTAGCATTTACACCGCATTCATCCCTGATTTTACTGGCAGAGAGATGGGAATTCGAAGCACTTCGAAGGATTAGTAGCCTCTCTGATGCCGTTGTAGCATAATTTTTTCCTCCTTTCATTTTTAGGAACAAAGAGAGAAGAATAAATATAAGAAATCAGTATCTTGCTGGAGGGCAAGTTGTTAAGACAAAAAACAAAAAAAATAAATAATAAAAAAAAAAAAGTGGTTAAGATTAAAAAAACAAAAAAGTTAATGCCGCGCTCGGATGAGGAATGCGATTCCTCCGACGCCTCCTTAATCTCGGTTGGCTACAACCTCGGTGATATAGCGAATTACACCATGCCCAGTGCCAGTGAATCTGACAACTCACAACTTGACAAATTAAGGACGGCACCCTTGACTGTGCCAGACGCGACTGCTCACGGTGCTACCCGACGACTCTCCAAGGACTCACTTGCTCCAGCCAATCTAAGTCAGTTTGCTGCCCCACCGGCGGCAGCTCCGACTAGTTCAAGCGGTTAGTACATAGTCCCAGTCCGACTCGGACATGTCCACTAAGTCCATCCGCGATCCGATTTCTCATGGACGAGAACATGTTCGATCCCGAGGATGACGCCGTCCTTGCCGAGATTGATGCTCCGCCGAGCCCACTGCAAACGACAGTAATTGAAAACCCCATTTGCCCAAAAATCTTTGAAAAAGATCAAGCAAAGAAAGTGCCACCAAAACGCGCATTAGACGCCACTAACACCACAAAAAAAAGGCGCCAATACATATAAAATCATAAAAAAAGCGAAAATCACTAACATAATCAAACGTAAAAGCAACGGCCCTTTTCCCGCCAAAAGAGAAGTAAGAGACACAAGAAGAACGCCAAGTGCCAACGAAATCGGCACAGGCATACTACAATAGTGTGCAGAACAAATACACACACAGGGCAAAGGAACTGCTTTACCGACAAGTGCCAACAATTTCGGCACACACATAACGCAGCAAGAACTAAACGCTGCTTTGCAGTCCTCCTTTACCAATACACTCATAAATTCTAACATAATTGGCACTCAGCAACACCTACTACAGCAACAGCCAATACAGCATCAACAACAAGTTAAACCTTGGAAGCTATTTCTCCAGCAATGGAAAAACAACTCTATCCCTGTGGCAGCAGCAACAGCTACAACAACCAGAAGAAATTTGATGCCATCATTAACAAAATCGCCACTAACACAGACGCTAACGACAACAATAGAAACTACCAGCAATGACAAAGCAACACTGCTACAAAACTGGCTCTCAGGTGTGCCACCACTGCTGCCCAGCGAACTACCAAAGCCTCAACTAGCAACGATAAATACCTCCGCCACAACGTGGCGATCACCTCTGAAGAGAAGATGTGTGGATATGGACGAGTCTGACTATGATCCCGCTCTCCAAATACTACCGTTAACGACGCCCATCTTTAAGAGTGGTTTCGCTATCAAGCTTCACCAAGAGGCACGCCGCCAACAAATGCTCTAAAGTGAGGCAGAGCAACACGGACATCAGACAGCACAAAGAGGGCAGCAGCCACAGAAATGCCAGCAACTGCAACCGCGACAACAACAACAATCGCAACAACATCAGGAAGAGAGTCTGAAGCAGGAATCGAAAGAGAAACTACTCCAGCCAATCCAGCAACAGGCAACACAAGGCAAGAAAGTGCCTGTGCTCTTCTTGCCAATGGTGCCCGCAATTATCTGGATAAACTGAAAAGCAATCCAGGTGTGCGAAAATTCTGGACAAAGGCAACCTCTAGCACTGGACTAAGTGTTCAATGTGAAGATCTGGCCACGCATAAAGCAATTCTATCCGCCCTGGCTGAAGAAGGCACTCATCTGCATACGCACCAACTGCGCAGCGAAAAGGAATATCGCATAATCTTACGGCATATCCACCACTCTACAACCTGTGAATGGTTAGCGGCCAATCTAGAACAAATGGGCTTTGTCACTCGTTTCATCCGAGTCATAAAACCCCGGTTCACAGGCAGGCCGCTAAATTTGTTTGAAACCGAACTGCAGACCAAAGCGGATGGGAGCCATAAAGGCATCCTCAACCTGAAAGAGCTGGGCAGCCAATCCATCACGGTCGAGCGGCAAGCAAAACCTCGAGATCCAGTGCAGTGCCATCGGTGCCTTTGGTCTTTGGTCACACGAAAAAATATTGCAGGCGGCCCTTCGTCTGCATGAAATGCACATGCGAGCACATGTCAACTGCATGTACCAAGCCCAGAAAGGTGGAGCCTAAGTGCGCAACGTACGTAACCCGGCCGAAAGTCATTTGGCCTCCTTCCAGCGGCAACTACGTTTGCAACAGCATCAAAAACAACATCCAAATCTTTCCACGGGGAAACAGCAGCAATCAGCAACAAATAATGTCAGTACACCGAAACCAGCCGAAAGATCCAGCAATATGTCCTATAGCCGGGCTGTACGAGATGGCGGCAATGCCACTGTCCGTGAACGAAACCCAGCCTAAAAGCATTTGAGAGCTCTCCAGCAGCCACTACACAGACGGCAGAAGCAACAACAACAACATCATCTGTTCAATTTCAGGAAGCAAGCAACATCAACAAATAGAAGAGAGCTACTCCAGCCAGTGGTGCCTAGTTGACGCACAGCCGTGTCGACGCTGCCTCCTTGCGTAATCCTTTCGGAAGTCAACTGGTAACTCCCCAACGGCATAGATGGGACGAACAACAGCAGCTGGTAGGGCAACAATCAGCAATGTTCAAAAGCAATATAATCCAGACCTTGGAACAAAACATGGCAATGTTCACTCGCATGAAACGAGGAATAGATACTTTATTAAATGTCCTTTTGCAATTGCCACTCATAATAAAAACAATAACACAAATACCAATAATCATGTGTTGTAAAACACAGCTCAACAACAATCAGACAGCAAAACAGTTCAAATGGACTGCTCTATGGAAGCTGCCATCGCCAATGAATCCATCAATTATGTATAGTCATCCACACGGTAGTACCGCCGCTCAAACGACTTTAGCCACTACTACTTCCGCTGAAAATGTCCGCAGTCCGGCGCCAATCAGTACAGTAAATTCACATCTGACCATCCACAATTGCAGCCAAAATAGCAATCCATTTAAAATTGCTTTCTAGAATGCATGTGGCATAGGCAACAAAATGACGGAACTCGAGATGTACATGCGACGCGAGTCCATACAAATCATGATGGTCATCGAAACTCTGGTCACGACACTAACATACAAAGCGTATCAGGCTACCACACGTACAGTGTAACCCATCCACGCATGCATTGTAGAGGGGGGGTCGCTATCTTTGTGCGTAACGATATCAGGCACGCTGCCCTCCAGCCAATTAACGCGAACTTTCTCCAGAGAATGCCTATTGCCCTGTTGCTTGAAAATGAGAATAAAAGGGAAATAATTATAATTGCCCCAATCTATTGCCCACCAGTGTTCAAATGGTCCGTCGAACACTTCACAAAACTATTCAAACATTTTGACAACTTCATCGATCCGGCTCCATCTAACTTTATTTTCTGCGGCGATTGGAACGCCCAGCACTCATGGTGGGGCAATCCGCGAGCCTGTCACAGAGGCAAAGCGCTCTTCGTAGCAATTCACACACATTGTCGTTATAATGTCCTGGCCACCGGTGGAGCTACGCATTACCCGTACGATAGAAGGAAAATTCCTTCTGCAATTGACTTTGCAGTCCACGGTGGCTTAGATAGCAATCGGCTTCGAATCCACTCCTCAACAGACTTGGACGAAGACCACCTGCCTTAAAGAGTTGATCTGATTACTAACAGAAACCAAAATTTTACAACTCAATCTGATAATCGCAGACTGCTACCTTCTGGGGCCAATACGCATCGATTTCAGGATGTTCTTGACCAGCAAATCCACCTAAACACCGAGATCCGCAGTGGCACGGACATCGACATTGCAGTGGATATCCTCGTACGCAACATCCAAATAGCTGCAAATGCCGCAGCACACAGGCATCATGGAAACCAACCTAATCACCGGGGCCACCATAGGCACGAACTTGAACTGGACGAGTCGACCAGAAGACTACTATGGGACAAACAGAGATGCAAACAGATCTTAATGGCGACACGAACTCCAGAGGCAAGACAGCAACACAGGGCTGCACAGCTGAAAAACAAGAACATTAATAAAATACTTGTGGACATTGACACTCATGATCGATATGCAATGCAAAAGCTATGGCGACTTACCAACAAAATAAAAAAAACAGTCACTGCCAAACTGGCCAATAAAACTGCCACAGGCTAATGCTGGCAACGGAGTCGCGAGGAATGCGTCAAATTCAAACGCAATGTGGAAAAAAACAACTGCCAAAAAAGCGAAGGCCTTCGGCGCTCACCTTGAAGAACGTTTCAGCCCACTTCTCAACTTCTCAAACTCGGATGAGGAGCGTGCGGAAATTCGCGCCTGGGAAAAACACAGCTGAAGCAACATCAACAAGGCAATGCCCAGCCATCAGTTCGGCTTCAGGCGAGAGCACGGCACTGAGCAGCAACTGGCCAGCGTTATGCAATTTATATTACGCGCATACGAAGAGCGGCAGTTTTGCTCAGCGGTCTATATAGACATCTCAGAAGCCTTTGACCACGTGTGGCATAACGGCCTACTGAATAAACTGATAAAATTGTTACCATCAAACCTTTATACGATACTCGAAAACTACCTAAATGAGCGCACTATTGTGGTAAACTGCAATGACGGTGTCAAATCCAGAACAGGTCGAATTGCTGCCGGCGTTCCCCAGGGCAGTGTACTTTGTTGCATTTGAAGTTATCGGCAGCACCGAGGGTGTGCTTAGTTGGTTGCGTGCGATATTATCGGCCACGCCGATACTTTTTTTATATGGTCAGAGTATGCGGGGTGAAGCTGGGCCCACGGTGGAGCCCAAATTTTTGAAGGGTGGCAACGCCAGACTTGCGATCCACGGCGCCAAGAGCGACGATTGCTATTGGCCGCCCGGTTCACTCTTAAAGAGTCATTTATCATTTGGGCCATTGACCCAAGAAAATGCAGTTGTGCAGATGGGCAGCAACGGTGCCGCCTCGCCAATGTATGCGTGTTCCAAAATTCGGCACCGATGATGTTGCTGCCCAAATGGAGAGGGATTTCGATTTGATCAACGGTTAACAGCGGGCGTGCCAGCTCGAAGTGAGCATGAAATTTGTATATTGCATATCGGCTCAAAAGATTCGAATTTATTTTCATCTGGCAAGTTAAGCCAGCGCGTAATAACAAATAACTTAACAGACAAATGAAAATTTTGGTTTTGTTTTTTCTGCAATCTAATAGGTATCTGTAAATTAAACCGCTCAAGTCCCAAAATATATATAAAAAATATATATATAAAAAATAAAACTTGAAACTTAAGTGCGACGAGAGACGAACCATTAAAAAAATAAAAATTAACGGCTCCGGCCACAAAGGGACCAGTCTCGCAGCAGAGAGGCCCACGAAACATACCAAAGGCCAGTATTCGGCTCAGCGGCGCACACCAGCCATATGCGCGACGCCGCCAGCCAAGCGTCGGCGCAACCCTTAAGGCGACGAGACGAGCCACCAACGACCGGGGGCCAACAACGAAGAAGCGGCCACAGGCGGCACCACACCCACATCCCCCGAGTGAGTCCGTTTCCTTTTTGCCCATCCTCGTTCGGGCCCTTGGGAGAGAATTGATGAAGACTCCTGATCGTACTCCCTGAAAAGAAGCAGAATTTTTTTGTCGTTAAATTTAGTTTTTTTTTTTGTATTTATAAATTATATCTATACATACATAGGCACTTACGCCGAGCTTCACTTTAGAGTGCGAACGGTGAGGGAAACCCAAAAGGTGATCCATCTGCGCCTGTAAAATATAAAAATTTAAAATTAACACTTGCGCGAACTAAGCTCACATACTTACCTAATTGGAATTATCCATTTAAATCGCCCCTTATCACCCCTGAGAGCTCTTTAGGTAGGGTAAGGTAGAATTGAGCGATTTAATACAGATCTATATCACCTACCTGTTGCACGACTGATTATCGTAATATATTCAGCTTTAGGTATTTGTGTGCGCACATTGTTCCTAAATCGTCGCAACGATTGCCTCTAAATTGCCTCCATGCGTGTTTCTTTTGCGGCTACTAGGAAGGACCTCCTTCCACGGGCATTGATACTGCCTCTGCAGGAACTCCAGGCGGAATACGAAGTCCTCGTCCGAATTCATCGCGTCCTCGCCGTCAAACTTGACGTTTCACCGCTCGAGCTTCATGTACGCCATTTCTTGTACATTGGCGTACGCCTCCTCCGGTTGAAAATTATCCGCTCTCCGGTCCTCTACTCGGCAATGGCAGTTATTCGGGTTCCTCGACTGAGCATCTGCAACGTAAACTGGGCACTTCCCGTTCTTTCGGGATGGCGCCTGTTCGTGGTCCCGGCTCGACATGTCTCGGCGGCTTCGGCGCAGTGTTAGTCTCGGCGGTTTGGCTCCCTGGCGGCCTGAGCACATCAATGATGCCCTTCATCATTTCCATGAAGCCAGCTTGCATCTCCTCGCGGATGGACTCGCTGATACCAGATGGCAGAGCATGCCGATACGTTTGGTGGGCCTGAGCGATCGCCGCGTTTGCCGCCAACTTGAGCACTGAGTCTTTCGGGGCTTTTGAGAACTCAAGGTTCCGTGGAGGTTTATCTTGTTGCGCCAATTCTTTCTCCAAGTCTACTAGGTGACCCTCTTCCGGGATCTGTCTCTCTGGAAATCCCCGGAAATTCATTGGCGTTCGCACCAGCCCCCCAACCGGTCGCGGCGGTGGCAGAGCCGACGCCCCATCAGCGTCAGAAGCCCAATCAGACACCTGTTTCTCAGCCATACTTATCCCTTCTGAGAACTGTACCCCTCTCTTCTACAAGGCTTACTACCCTTATAAAAATAACTTTACCAATATTCCTAATAAATTAATAAATAAATAAACACCCACTAACAAGCTTACTAATAAATAATAATAAATTAATACACATCGACCACAAAAACACTCACAAAAATAAATTTTTTTCTTTCTAATTAATTTCAAATACTTGGGGGAGAGAAGACAAATCCTAACACAGGCTAACTAATCTACGCATAATCTGGACAGTGGACAACACTTAAGCATTCGTCAACTGTTCAGTTCATCAGTTTGACTGACGAACGGCATTCAATGAACGCTACCTTGAAGGCTATTTGGTTTCTGTCGCACTTCTGGGCACCCTTAGGATATGCTGTGTGACAGGTGCGGCGCAGGATCGGCTTTATATCGTCCTGGGTTACCTGTCTCCGAAGCTCATTTAACTACGGCAAGCACATTCCAAATATTAGCACAGAGTGGGACAAAACAAATAGAAAACATTAAACAAACTCTAGTAAGACCTACCCTAATATCACATTCTATCACAAGCTATTTTGTTATTTTGTTATTCGTGGCGGCTACCACCAGGCTACGATAAACGGTCGCGACCGTTTCGCCAACATGCGAACGTGACTTACCGTCATCAACCTTTACAAGAAAACTTCTCATGTTTATGGATATTCTCTACTTCCGTCGTGCTTCTCGGATTCCACTACACGCTGCGCGATGATGAGCTACCTACTCGTGCCACATAAGACTTCAACGGTGTGGGCCCTGAAGCCAAAGGAGCCCTTTTCTCTTTTTGCCCATCCTCGTTCTGGCCCTTGGCAGAGAAATGATGAAGACTTCTGAAAAGGAGCAGATTTTTTTTGTCGTTAAATTTAGTTTTTTCTTTTGTATTTATAAATTATATCTATACATACATAGGCACTTACGCCGAGCTTCACTTTAGAGTGCGAACGGTGAGGGAAACTCCAAAGGTGATACATCTGTGCCTGTAAAATATAAAAATTTAAAATTAACACTTGCGCGAACTAAGCTCACATACTTACCTAATTGGAATTATCCATTTAAATCGCCCCTTACCACCCCTGAGAGCGCTTTAGGTAGGGTAAGGTATAATTAAGCGATTTAATACAGATCTATATCACCTACCTGTTGCACTGATTACCGTTTTTATTGTTTTTATTGTTCCTAAATCGTCGAAACGATTGCCTCTAAATTGCCTCCTTGCGTGTTTCTTTTGCGGCGACTAGCAATATCTTTGTAGTATTTCGTCGCCTGTTCCATTTAGTGGTGTTAAAATAAAAAAAAATTAATTGTATAAGATAAGAGAAAAATTTAGGAATTAATACACTTTGTCCATAAGTATAAATATGTGCAACATTAATACGCACCCGGGGAAGAAATGTTCACGTGCATGAATACTTATTTATCTGAATGGAGACCTCGTGCAAATTAGAAAGAAATAAAAGAAATATTAATGCCAATAATTATAAGAATACATAAACCATTATACGCACCTGTGAAGTTAACGAAATATCCACTTGCATGAGATTCTAAATCGCTGCAAAGATAAACGCCATAAGCGACGATTATAATGTTATAAATTTTAAGAAGACGCAACCAATTATACGCACTTATTGAAAGAAAGCATGTCCGGCTAAAGTAAATTGTTGGGGAGAGTGGGCATGAGGGTCGACACTGGCTAATGTAGGCCATTTAGTGGCCAAAATGAGGGAGACGAGTGTAGGTGATCGTCTCATGGTGGAGCGGGTACGCTGGGTCCGGAACCGGGGCCCGATCTGGAAGAGTAAGGTTGATAAATAGCGTTTTTTTGTTAATTTATATTAAGTGTCTCACCTTTGTTGTTTACATTTTCATAGTTGTTACAGCTGTTTATTTTGTTCATGAGTTAGCAGATCCGAATATTGGTTAGTTAGTTGTGTGAGTCTGTTTTGCTACAGAAGTGTAGCTTTGTTGTTATCGATTGTCCGGGATGGAACTACACCCGAAAAATCCGATGAGCCCGCCGGCGCGGCCCACTGAGAAACAAGCAGTTCCGTAACAATATGGCGCCCAATGGTGAAGAAGCACTCGGCTTCTTTGAAGTCGGTGTGTAATCAAAGAAAAATAAATACGATATAAATGAAGGTACAGAGAAACGGACTGCGGGCCAGGAATGGGACTACACCCAGAGAATCCGATGAGCCAGCCGGCGCGGCCCACTGAGAAACAAGCAGTTCCGTAACAACTGGGCCCAATATTGTATACATTATACTCCTCGGATATGCCCCTTCCATCACTCATGCGAAGCACATATTATGGAGCCCAAAAAATCCACATGCTATTATCAATATACGCCGACGATACAGTGATCATGTGTGCCGCTGCGCTGCCAACGACAGCTGTTGGAGGGAACCAAACATACCTCTCTCAAGCAAGCTCCTTGACCTTGGCAAACACAACAGGCACAACAAATGATGCAAGATAGGGAGCAAATTCCAACACTCCTCCGGCTTCAAGAAGAAGAGCTGGAGAGGCGAGAAAATGAGAGACTGGCCGAAATCCAGGCCAGGCAAAAGATCCAGCAATCAAATTGGCCTCCTAGAAGATTCGGAGAATCAAGTATAAATTCGTATAGAAGAATGTAAAGAAGCGGACAAATCACTCGCGAAGAGCTAGTGGTCCGCATCCAGGGCCAGCCCCCAACAATCCAGCGATTAATCCTACCAGGCTATGTGGACGCGAGGCAGCAGGATCAACAAGCACAGCAAGCTCTGCCAATACAAACTCCACAGGCTCTATCAAGGTAGTCACAACAGCCGCTAACGACATCAACTGAGGAGCCAGCAAACTTGCAATCACTGCCACATCGACAGCAGCCACAACTTCAACAAGGCCAGTTAAAAATGGCCGACAGCAATGAAACACTGCTAGATCATGGTCTTCAGAAAGTCTGCGAGTCGCTGGAACGCGTTCTGGATGAAGACATGGAAAACGCAAACTCCCAAGATGACCTACTGGGCCAATACTAAACTCGGAGAGTCTTGCGGCCATAGCATCGTCCACCTAAAAAAAACAAAAATAAAAAATAAAAACAAAATAATATCCTGTATTGCGACCGGCTTCAGGCCATCAAACTCCTTAAAAGTCGATTAAAAGCGCTGCTATGACTGCCAAAAAATGCTGATCTGCAAGTTGCCAAGTTGCGTGGTGTCTGCGGAACGCCACCAGATGTTCAATCCACGACGCTTCCGTGCTGTCCTGTAAATAAGGTCACAAAATTTAATTTTAATTACATGCTCACCAAGAAGACGAAATATTCTATGACGGCCTTCTATATGATGTGTCCATTTTGCAATCATCAATTTCCTGGACTAGTTGTGTGCCGTGTGAGAGACGCCGCTGGATGATCCGACCGTTTACGCTGACGTACTGTACTGCAAACAAAGATGATACGCCCACGACGGTCAAATTGACCAGATATTAAAACTTGGAGAGATCGGCATGAAGGGCCACTCAACTAAGAGGAGCCGATATGATGCGTCTCTACGGCCGTTAGAATCAGCTGACCTGCAATTCCTGGACAAATACATACTTATCAAGAAGACGATAGGCCTACGACGGTCTACTGAGCCACGTATTGAATTTGGGCTCTGTAGTGGGCTCCATCCAGCATCCTGTATCGGCTTCGGCCTGTTAATCAGGCCATCCAACGTTGAGGAGCCGACATGATCCGTTTCTGCGACTGCCAAAGTCGCTGACCTCCAAATCCTGCAAGAATGGGGTTGCGTGTGAGAGACACTGCCAGATGTGCCAACCCACGACGTTTCCAAAACCTAATGCTCCTCGTCAGCCTACCGGATGATGTGTTCATTTTGGAATGAGCGACTGCTTTGAATCGATTAATACGCTGCTACGACCGCCAAGACAAACTGACCTGAAATTCCTGGATAAGTTGTGTGGCGTGTGAGAGACGCCACTAGATGTATTTCAAACTACGAGGCTGATGTGTCGTTCTGCAAATTAAAAACATAAAATCAAAAGCTCTGCTTAAAAGTTACAGACACATACTCACCAAGAAGACGATACGCCCACGACGGTCTACTGGGCTAAATTTGGGGTGAGCGACGGATTTGGCATCGCCCACCCAAACGAAATATGCAATAGCTCAGCAGCTCTGAGTGGGCTCTATCCAGCATCCTGTATCATCTCCAGCCTGTTAATCTGGCCATCCAGCTCTGTGGAGCCGACATGATGCGTTTTTGCGACTGTCAAGGTCGGCTGACCTGCAAATTCTGGACGAGTGGTGTGGCGTGGAGAGACGCCGCCAGATGTTCCAATCCACGACGCTTCCGTGCTGTCCTGCAAATAAAGTCACTCACTCACCAAAAAATCGAAATGCTCCACGACGGCCTACTGGATGATGTGCCCATTTTGGATTGAGCGATGGTTTTGAGTCGATTAATGCGCTGCTACGATCAACAAAAAAAACTGACTTCCAGATCCTGCAAAGTGGGGTAGCGTGTGAGAGACAATGCCAGATGTGCGAATCTACGACGTTTCCAAGATGAGATGCTCCACGTCGGCCTACTGGATTATGTGTCCATTTGGGAATAAGCGACCGCTTTCAGTCGATTAATGCGATTCCTGGACGGGTTGTGTGGCGTGTGAGAGACGCCACTAGATGTTTTCCAGACTACGAGGCTGATATGTTGTTCTGCAAATTGAAACATAAAGTCAAACACTCTGCTTGCAAGTTACAGATAAACACTCACCAAGAATACGATACGCTCAGACGGTCTACTGAGCCACCTACTGAATCTGGGCACTGTAGTGGGCTCCATCCAGCATCCTGTATGGCCTTTGGCCTGTTAATCAGGCCATCCAACACTGAGAAGCCGACATGATGTGTTTTTGCGACCGCTTGAGCCAGCTGACCTGCAAATGGTATGGCGTTTGAGAGGCGCTGCCAGATGCTCCAATCCACGACGCTTCCACGAGGTGCTCCACGACGGCCTGCCGGATGATGTGCTTAAGTTGGAATGAGCGACGGCTTTGAGTCGATAATAGCTCGGCAGCTCTGAGAGGGCTCCATCCAGCATTCCATTATTCCATTATTTCAAACATTCGAGTTGATATGGAATCGTAATATTTTTCAATTTCACTCAGTGAAATAGTTGACCAGGCTTTTTTTATCGCTTCAACCAGGCCGAGTCCTGAAATTGTCTTCCCCTTCATACACTCTCCTGGATAAAAGTCCCCAAATGTTCTCGATAATATTTATGTCTGGGGAGTATGGCGGCCACTCGAGCAAGTTGACATTCTGGCCCTTAATCCACTGTTTTGTAACCCGGGCTGTATGGATGGGGGCGTTGTCTTGTTTGTCCATTGAATAGGTCCAAAATTTTCGGAAAACTGGGGAAAAACCTTTTGGAGCACAGTCTTGTAGACATTTGCATTCATCTTTGAGGAAACAAACTGCATCTCGCAAGTTCCATAAAACGATATGGCTCCCCAAACCATTACGCCTCCTGTACAGGAGTGATGAGGACTCAAGAAGCATTCCTCATTGCGCATATCGTGAAATAAAAGTTGTAGCCATACGGTCCGGCGAGATTAAACTTTTTGTCTTCGGAAAAGACCACAGCCTTCCACTCCTTGTTGCATGTCATGTGATCCCGCGCAAATCGAAGTAGCGCTTCCTTCCGTGTATCATTGAGAGGAGGTTTTTTATTTTTAATCTCTTTAACTGTTCGAATAACTCGTTTTACCGTTGCCAAACTAGCATTTACACCGCATTCATCCCTGATTTTACTGGCAGAGAGGTGGGAATTCGAAGCACTTCGAAGGATTAGTAGCCTCTCTGATGCCGATGTAGCATAATTTTTTCCTGCTTTCATTTTTAGGAACAAAGAGAGAAGAATAAATATAAGAAATCAGTATCTTGCTGGAGGGCAAGTTGTTAAGACAAAAAAATAAAATAAATAATAAAGAAAAAAAGTGGTTAAGATAAAAAAAAAAAAAAAATTAATGCCGCGCTCGGATGAGGAATGCGATTCCTCCGACGCCTCCTTAATCTCGGTTGGCTACAACTTCGGTGATATAGCGAATTACACCATGCCCAGTGCCAGTGAATCTGACAACTCACAACTTGAAAAATTAAGGACGGCACTCTTGACTGTGCCAGACGCGACTACTCACGGTGCTACCCGACGACTCTCCAAGGACTCACTTGCTCCAGCCAATCTAAGTCAGGTTGCTGACCCACTGGCGGCAGCTCCGACTAGTTCAAGCGGTGAGTACATAGTCTCTCTCCTGTCCCAGTCCGACTCGGACATGTCCACTAAGTCCATCCGCGATCCGATTTCTCATGGACGAGAACATGTTCGATCCCGAGGATGACGCCGTCCTTGCCGAGATTGATGCTCCGCCGAGCCCACTGCAAACGACAGTAATTGAAAACCCCATTTGCCCAAAAATCTTTGAAAAAGATCAAGCAAAGAAAGTGCCGCCAAAACGCGCATTAGACGCCACTAACACCACAAAAAAAAGGCGCCAATACATATAAAATCATAAAAAAAGCGAAAATCACTAACATAATCAAACGTTAAAGCAACGGCCCTTTTCCCGCCAAAAGAGAAGTAAGAGACACAAGAAGAACGCCAAGTGCCAACGAAATCGGCACAGGCATACTACAATAGTGTGCAGAACAAATACACACACAGGGCAAAGGAACTGCTTTACCGACAAGTGCCAACAATTTCGGCACACACATAACGCAGCAAGAACTAAACGCTGCTTTGCAGTCCTCCTTTACCAATACACTCATAAATTCTAACATAATTGGCACTCAGCAACAACTATTACAGCAACAGCCAATACAGCATCAACAACAAGTTAAACCTTGGAAGCTATTTCTCCAACAACTCTATCCCTGTGGCAGCAGCAACAGCTACAACAACCAGAAGAAATTTGATGCCATCATTAACAAAATCGCCACCAACACAGACGCTAACGACAACAATAGAAACTACCAGCAATGACAAAGCAACACTGCTACAAAACTGGCTATCAGGTGTGCCACCACTGCTGCCCAGCGAACTACCAAAGCCTCAACTAGCAACGATAAATACCTCCGCCACAACGTGGCGATCACCTCTGAAGAGAAGATGTGTGGATATGGACGAGTCTGACTATGATCCCGCTCTCCAAATACTACCGTTAACGACGCCCATCTTTAAGAGTGGTTTCGCTATCAAGCTTCACCACGAGGCACGCCGCCAACAAATGCTCTAAAGTGAGGCAGAGCAACACGGACATCAGACAGCACAAAGAGGGCAGCAGCCACAGAAATGCCAGCAGCTGCAACCGCTACAA